AATGAATATCATACCACTTATAAAACATTTAAATACAAACATACTATCGGTGATGAAGATTTACAATTTGGATTCACGTTCAACATTCTTACAAATAACAATAACATGTATTCCGACACCCTCAATCTTTAAGTTCTTCAAGGTGCTTCAAGTGTTTGATTTCACTAGGGATACTAGTATACAAATTAGTAGGGGAAGTCTTCATCGCTCAACAAAAACTGAAGGCAACATCAGTTTTGCTAGAAAAGTGAGCTAAGTAATACATTGACATACCATGTCGAGAACCATATAATGAGACATTGATTGGGATATTATTGAAATTAGTCTTCCTGATTTTCAGAAACGGCACCCTTGGAAAACTCAGGAAGAAGACATCGATTAGTCAATGATAAAACATTGCTAAATATTAAAGCTCCTGACATTTGAGGTTTGATTATCATTGTACTACCTTCTGTACGCTATCTCAATGAATAAATTTTAAAGTAGAAAATAATGGATGAAATGATATTGAATGGACTTTTATATCCATTCATCATGCTATTCCTAGACGCTTGAAGATCGGGAATAGTTTTTACTAAGCTGCCACATTTAAGATTCGATATACTTATGAAGCAAGCATGGAATGTACATACCTGGTCAGACTGTATTATAATACTTTAGGTTGCGTAGCACTAACATTTAAATGTTTACTTGAAAGCTAGCCTTTAACGATCTATAGGCATATTAAAAAACATCACATACATATTTACATCTTTTTACAGCTGTCCTTTGATTAATTGATATTGGACGTCATCTAAAGCGATTCGAGACACAATGACCGCATTCAGCCAACGTAGAGTTTTTAGTGGAGGAGCGCAATATGGGATTTTGGGATTTACTTGAGCGTGGTAGATTAACATAAGGAAGGATAGCTTACGCTTACATCATGTTGAGTTCCTCCTTGAACTAGAACAAGGCTGCTTTCTTTGGGGCGTATTTATATGCCGTTGGGACACTCAATTTCATGGCTTAATTAAGTATGAGGGAAAAACTAAATTTGGTCAAATCGTTTTTATGTTTTCCGACTTTATTTCAAGAAATATCAAAAAGCTAATGCAACTTTTTCGTTGGCTCTTTTGCGGCCCTGAATACGCCCCAAAGAACGCAACTTTTTCCTAATTCCACCTTAGCTTTATCTCCCCCAGGTATTGAGATCCCCATGCATAGGATCCTGATCTTGATCACCTTGTATAAGTCATTTGTATAGGCGAGGCACGTCTAGGGCAGACGACCAGAATAGCAAAAAAATCGATCGTTAATACTAGAACGCATCAGACTAAGATGAGGTATGTAAATCACATGCTAAAGAGCATGTATTCCAGTAATCTGTCGACTTGAGTGGGACGTAAGCAAGAGGAAGGGTGATGAGCTTGCAAGAAAGCGTCACGTTTGACATTCTCGGGTGCTGTCGACTTTTTTTAATTTTGAAGAAATACATTAAAAAATCACGCAATATATACAATTTGTCGGTTTTAATAAGGTGAAATATAAAAAATTCGTCATTAAGGTTGGTGCGTGCAGCCAACTTCTTATTCTTCGACCTATTAACTAATATTTTCATAAAATGGAGATTATGGCATGCGGATTTAAGTACAGTATATTCAGATAAGAGATAGACCGGATGTAAACAAAAGGTTCGGGTGATTTTCACGCTAACGCCGCCGTCTCGACGTAAAACGCGGAGCCCTCATTGGTCAATTCGCAATTAAATGCCTATGCCGAGCGGCAGAGCAGTCGTATCAAGGCAGAGTCACATTCAGGTTCAGACGTGTTACGTATGTCGTGTGCATCATTGCAATTTGATATTTCTTTGGACGTTTTCGTTTGTTATCTTATTAAGTTGTTGAGTTTGTCGTTGTTATTTTTATACCTTGTTATTGATTGTTATTGTTATCAACTGCTTGCGCAAAATGCCCAGTAGTACAGATACTGCCGATGAAGTTGTAAACTCCTGTAGTCCACCTAGGAAACGCTCTAAAAAAAGACACCAGAGTGCAGAAATGAAAGAGGTCATTTTGAATATATATAAGATCGAGCGCGAGGAGAACGAGGCATCAACCATCAAAGAAATTGTTGTGAAGGTTTCTCACAAAGTTGGGGTGTGTCGCGCATCAGTGTTTAATGTGTTAAGACAATACAAAAAAAATCACACCTTTTCTGAGCCAATGACCAGTAAACATCGCAAAAGTATTGTTAAATCATTGGATGAAGCTGATAAGCATGCGATTAGGAGGAAAGTGCATGAATTCTTCTTTAGGAATGAAATACCTACTATAGATAAAGTACTGCAGGAGGTAAATGGAGATACAACGTTGCCAAATTTCAAACGATCAACTTTCCATGCGTTACTGAAGCATTTAAATTTCAAATGGAAAAAACGGGGCCGTAATAGTTTACTACTGGATAGAGAAGAAATTGTGCTATGGGGGAGGGATTATTTAACAAAAATTGGGAAATATAGAAATCAAAACAGGAAGATTTATTACCTTGATGAAACGTGGGTAAACGCAGGACACACTACAAGTAAAGTATGGGTTGATGATTCTGTAACTTCATCCAGGAGGGCCTTTCTAGATGGACTGTCCACCGGATTAAAAAATCCAGCAGGTAAATACGAGTAATAGACAACAATCGGATGTTTTTCAAACCTTGGGAACAAGGTTCTAAACATTAATTCCAGGGGGCAGATAAAACATATTACAAGTAACAAAACTTTTATAACTTTCGATAAAATGCGTGGATGTTTTATTGTCATTTTCATTTGTTAGAACTTTTTTAAGCCATGTTTTTATGTGTTTTCGATATTTCAATAATTTTTTAATATAATCTTAAAATATGTCGAATATTATAAACTTAAAAAAAGTTACTAAGTTTTATATTGTCTACCGTTCCTAATATTTCTAATCATTTTAATTCATACTTTAAGCTTTATAAAGTTATAATTTGTTAATATTAATATTTGCGCGTATTTCAGGTTCCTGATCATTCATTTTTTAAAGGTTTATAACTTTAAATTAAATTGTGAAGCGCTGAGTAATCATACGACGTTCAATATTCTTTCTTTCAATATGACTAAATAATCCCAATTATAGCAATCTGATACTCATGTCTCAATGTTTTTTTGCTGAATGTGATGAAAACATTTGAAAAAGGTTCGCTTATTGAAATAAATCTACACCAGTTAGTACTTCGATTTCCAGGTAAAGGGAAAAGGCTCATTATCTGCCATATTGGCAGTGAGGATGGATTTGTTGTTGACGGTCTGTGGTGCTTTGAGTCTAAGAAAACTGGAGATTACCACGAGGAAATGAATGGTGAATCGTTTGAACAGTGGTTTTCAAAAATTTTACCGAACTTAGAGGAAAACGCAGTAATTGTGTTGGATAATGCGCCTTATCATTCTCGAAGAATGGAGAAGGTCCCAACAACGGCTTCAAGGAAAGTTGATGTTCAAAATTGGCTCCGCTCGAAAAATATCAACTTTGAAGAAGCAATGCTGAAAGTACAATTATTAAGAATTGTCAAGGATCACAAGGCGGAATATCAAAAATACGCCATTGACGAAATGGCAGCAAGTCAAAATAAAACTGTGCTCCGTTTTTTACCTCCATACCATTGCGAGCTCAATCCCATTGAGCTCATATGAGCAGAGGTTAAAAATTATATAGCTAAGCACAATACAACTTTTAAATTTTGTGACCTCAAAGGACTTTTCAAAGAAGCACTAGAATTAATAACAGCGCAAAAATGGGAAAACTGTATTAAGCACGTGAAAGACAAAGTTGAAAAGAGAATGTGGGAACTGGACAATATTTTAGAGGAACAAGTCGAGCCATTCATTATTGACGTTGGTGCTTCAGGCAGTAGCGATGATGAAAGCTCATCAAGCTCATCTTTCCAATAAAAGATGTCGTTCATCAAATTCGGTAAGTTATAAGTAATTATAAAGCTACTGTATTTTTTAATTAATTATTGACATTTTTGAACCCATTTTGGCAAAACCTATTCAAGAATCTACTTTCTGACAATGTTCAACCATGCACATTTTTTTACGTTTTGAACGTTTTAATTTGGTTACATATTTACCTAGAAATCAAAAAATATACTAATCAATATTCTAAAAGCAATTTTAAGAGATATACGATTATTTTTAATTTAGGCTAATTTAAACGCCATTTTGAGATTATATTCGACTGTATTTCACCAAACATCAGGCGGCATCCGAAGCTGGAAATCGAAGCGAAAATTTTGAAACCCTTATGTATATTTACATCATTATATATTTCTTACCCCACCCCCACATGATCCTATATCCATCACCAATCGTATACACATCGAATTGTGCTAATTTAATACAAAGTTACGCAAAGCAGCATCTACTATCTAAAATATGTACTGCGTGACTCTTAATACGTCCCTGCCGAATGTTACAGCGTTCGATGATCACGTGGTCTTGTTTATGTCCGGTCTATCTCTTATCTGAATATACTGTAGTTTGTATGATTTTTCATTCTGTATAATAAAAGCTTAAATAATCCAAATTAACGACGGTTTTGTCACTGCCTAATGGATAAAAAACTAACTAAATTAGCAAAATACAACAGCCCTTAGACAAACGCATTGAAGCCCTTTCAAATGAAATCAAGGTCATGAAACTCCATAAAGTCAATCAGAAGTTACACTACTTCCTCTGAAATGACGTTAAACCCTTCCCTCTGCTTAAAAAAATGATGTCGACAAAAAAGGCTGAAAACACGAATACTATCGAACATAGCTACTTCAGATGTCTGTTAACTATGCATGTTTTCGAAACAACGGCATTTATAATTTTGAGGTTAGAGTTATGCTCCCAGCTGCCATTTTAGGAAGCTTAAAATAATTTCCAGTAATTCCCCTATGTCGCTTTTTTGTATTATTTAACCGATAGTCTAGTTTGAGTGGTTGCCGTCGTCCTTCATTAATAGCCCTCCTGGTACAAACCGGCAGCTTATCGTACGAGAGATAAATCAGTCTCATCACTTAATTTACAGACCATGTGGGGCATAACATACAATATCAGTATTTAACGCATAAAGTATTTTATGTAGCTGTCTTTTTGATTCTTGACAACATGTAGGCTGCTGCCTCACCACTAAAATCATATAGTATTTTCTCCTTTCTGAAATTTAATCTTCAAAACTCACTAGACGCTCGAGTAACTGCTCATTGGGCTCCTCCACCAGGTACACTGGAACATGTTTTGAATGCTGCATAGCATTAGCCATCGGATAGCTTTGTAGGAGTTTTTATTTGACTCTCAAATTTGATAGTTGTTTTAGACATAAGCACTTAGCTAGCTATTTGTATCTAGTCATTAGTAGTCAACAGTACATGTGATCCAATACTTATTTAGGAGACATAAGATGGATAAGTCAACTACTGAAAGTTGACTTCCATATACCATTCCCACTTTTGGGGTAATTTCATAAAATGGAGATAGCATAAGTGCCTTTTTTGTCCTCGAATTACATTATGACGACATTTTCTCTGATTGTAACTCGTATAGCAAGTACAACATCGAACTTGAAATATTTACAACATTATATGTACAAAATTGATCTTCTTCCAAGATTTACAAAGTGGAATCTAGTTACCGTAGGAGAAATGTGATGAATACGATGACGACGCTGGCAGTACTTTCTGATAGCCCCGAAGAACCTGTAACAAAGATATGATTGTGTTAGAAGACTAACAGCCAGTAATGCCTCCTTTTAAATATACCCAGTGACATTGGAAGTGTTACACCCAGAAAAAATAATTTCTTCAACTTGTTTTTTGGCAATATGACCATATTTAAAGCGTGCTGTGGCAACAATGAGCCGTATTCATAAAACAAAGGATGTCCCCTTGTACTTGCAAACTTCGAAGGAAATCCTCCAGATGGTATTTAAAATAATTTGAAGTACGAGCCCCTTCCCAATTTAGTTGGCCCAACTATTGAAATCTTAGTTCTTTTCTTAACAAACACAAATAATAAAAATGTAGCATGGTGTTATAGGTTTAAAATATTAACAATGAATATTTTGATAATATATATTAGAAAACACCAACTTTATCACTCCCTAATCAAATTTGCAGCATAAAAATAACACATATTGCAATTACAGCATATCAACCTATTTTCATTTCAATGCAAAATAAGTCTATAACGCATAGGTTTTTATTAATCACAGCTGTCGGAATACGTTTAAAACAGTTTTGGGTAGTTAAGGTTTTCAAAATGGGTAGAGGAAAGGTTATTAGTGAGAAAATTCGGTTACTGATAATTAATTTTTTTAATTCTGGGTAACTGCAAATTTGTTAGAATTATTGCGTTACAGTGTGAGAAATATTGTTAGAAGATATGAAGAGGGCTTGGGGCAGTAAGGGACCTAAGCCACATTTTGATGAAAAATTAGATTTCCATACGAGCGAACTCGTTGAGTAGGTATCTATGTCTGAAGTTGATTTGTTTGATGATCCGCTGGTAGATGTCGCTATAATCCATGAAGAGTGTTTTTGACAGATTGGTTTAGTCTACAAATTTTTACGCCGAAAAGGACATAAGCCACATACATTTCAAGATGGACGCCAAGCGGAAATTGTTCGCGGGTGAAAATAATGGATGTTTTAGTGATTCGGAGAGCGAAGATGGTTCTGAATTTGGATCAGATGATAGTGTAAAGGACAGAGACTATAATCCGACTAGCAGCAGTTCTGACAGTAACTCCGAACGAGAAACTCAGGTGAATAAATAAACTTGTGGCTTGTGACCTTAATGCCTTTATAGATGTGGCTTATGCTTTTTTCACATAGGAGTGCAATTTTTTAATATTACTTCTGCAGTATTACTAGATTATGATTTCAGACTAATCATTCCTCAGAGTATATCGTAATCCTAATTTACAGAGGCCATTTTAACAGCAAATAACTCCTGAACACATGATAAAAATATGTAATTTTGTGCAAGTGGCTTATGCCCTTCTTCGCCAACTAAATTGATGTCTGTGTCTTGTGACGTTTTTCAGTATCCGGGAATAGCGATAACTTTTGCAAAATAGAACTGAGATTTACTGTCACAAATAATTTTAGTTATTATTATGATAATCAACTGAAATAGGCATTCGTCAAATGATGTTTTTTGTAACAATAAAATGGCTTTTAGGTTGCTGTAAGCAGAGGCAAGATGTTTACTCCAGAAAAACCAAATAAATCGAGATGGAGAAAACGTAATATTGAAGGCAGAGCAAGAGTGAAATCGAAAACACGCAGAAATCTTGGCCACAGTTACATAGATTTCAAAGGTCGACAACGAGAGTCTAAAGTATTAGGTCCACCATGTCAGTGCAAAAAGAACTGCAGACAACTGCTCCAAGAAACTGCTTCTACTATATTCCATGCATTTTGGGACTTGAACTCGTATGACGAACAGAATATATATCTGTTTTCTACTGTGAAGGTTATACCTAAAAAGAGAAGCTACAAAAAAAAACTAAACGCGCGGAATCGGCTCGACGAGTAACAAACCAATATTTTGTCAAAGTAAATGGAGTTGACATTCAAATATGTAAGACTGAATTTTTATCGGTCCATGGACTTCAAAACTCCAGTAAGCGATTAAAACTTATCGCTCAGCAAATTGTTGAAGGCAGGACAACTCCAAAAAGGGACGGTAGGGGCAAACATAAAAACAGACCCAACAAAATTTCTGCAGAAAGAGTTCAGTCTGTTCATGACCATATTAAAGCCATTCCGAAATATGTGAGCCATTACAGTCGGAAAGTTAATCCAAATAGAGTTTTTCTAAACCACGACCTCAACATATCTACTCTCTACAAGGACTATTATGTTGAGTGGTGCAAAGAACGTGGAATAGCACCAGTAAAAGAAGATCGGTATAGACGAATATTCTGTTCTGATTACAATATAGGATTTAAGTTGCCCAAGAGTGATACTTGTCATACATGCGACTTCCTTAATAATCAAATGGAAGCAAATAAAGAAAACCTGGAGGAATTCAATGAATTTAAAACACAACTGCAGCTTCATCAGACGAGAGCACTTGCCATGCAGGATAGCTTGAAAAAAGAGGTATCAGACAATGCGAAAAATTCCACGTGTATAATATCATTTGATTTACAGCAGACTCTTCCCACGCCTTCGCTAACTGTGGGTCCTGCCTTCTATTTACGAAAGGCTTGGACGTACAACCTCGGCATACACGATTGTGTCACTGGCAAAGGTAGCATGTTTTTGTGGGCAGAAACTACTGCAAAAAGGGGAAGTGAAGAGATTGCAAGCATCCTGCTGAAATACTTACAAGGTATATCTTCCACTAAAGAGCACTTGGTAGTTTTCACTGATAACTGTGGAGGCCAGAACAAAAACTGGGTAATCATGTCTTTGTGGTTGCAACTTGTTCGCGAAGGATTCTTCAAGTCCATAGAGCACCGTTTCCTTATTCCTGGCCACACTCACTTGCCTTCAGATAGAGACTTTGCCATCATTGAGAAGCATAAGAGGTACATCAAGCAGGTATACTGTCCAGAAGACTGGGTGGATATCGTTAAGAAATCCAACAGAAAAAGCCCATTTGACACAGTCTTATTGGAACAACATGACTTTTATGCATTTGATTCCATCTCTATTACGAAAAAACAATCTACCGTAGATAAGGAGGCCGTCAAATTTAATGAAGTGCGCTGTTTCAAGTTTGACAGTGAACATCCCAATTCTATGTTCATAAAACATACCCTTAACGGAGAATTTCTTGAGGTAAATGTGGGTAAAAGAGGATCTCGGCTGGGAAGTCAACGAACCCTGACAGATTTGAGAAGAAAATACAATGGACCTCTAGCACTGAATGACAAGAAGATCAAAGATCTGAAAAAGCTTCTAAAATATGTCCCGCCGATTAGTCAGCAGTTTTTTGTTGATATTGTAGGAAATACAATTGAAGCAGAGCCAGGCAGTGAACAGCCGAAGGAAGGAGAAGAAGAGGCTGAAGATATAGATGGCGATGATGAAGAAGTGAATTTGGACTAAATGAGTGATTAAAGCTATCATCAGAATGCATTATTTTTTTTTTGTAATAAGGCACCAAGCCACAAAATTTTCAAAAATAAATTTTTTATACGGAAATGTGTCACAATTTTTCGAATTAGTCGCCACCAAATCCTAGTTACCTGAGTTGTAAATGTATTGCATCAGTTCTAGCCGATTGTTGCAAAAAACCTGATTTCAGGATTTACACAAAACTTACAATGCCTTTTTTCTCAAAATAAACCCAATGAGGCTTAGGTCCCTTACTGCCCCAAGCCCTTCATATAACGTAACTGGTTCAGTTAATATTAAGCCACGATATGTGAAAAAACGTAATATCACAAATGCCGACCGAAGAGCATTAAGAAGAACAATCGTGAAAAACAGGCGTGCCAATTATTTACAATTAATTGCTCTGTGGAGTAACACTGTTGGAAGGAGAATTTCGTGGTCCAAAACTCATAGAAAGGCCCACAAACTGGGATTTAGCACTTGCAAGGTAAGTTTTCTTATAAAAAAAAGTGAAGTAAAAACCCTAAAGTTGCACAACTTGTTTATAGGCCAAAGAAAAGTCCCTATTAACTCCACTGCAAAAGAAAAATCGGCTTAGATGGGCTAAAGAACATAGACAATGGACACCTCAACCATGGTGTGCAATACAATAGAGTGATGAGGCCCGATTCGAAGTTTGTGTTGGTGACAGTCGCAGTAGAGTTAGTCGCAAAAAAATGAAGCATTCCATGTTGACTGTCTGAAGAGAAAAGTGAAATTTCCAGCAAGCATTATGGTCTGGGGCAGTATGTCATCAAAAGGAGTAGGAAAACTTCATTTTATTGATGGAAATGTGGATACAAACAAATATTTGGCAATTTTAGAAGAATCGCTTTTACCAGTGATGGAAGAATGTTTGACATCCGGCCAAGATTTTGTGTTTCAGCAAGATGGTGCAGCGTGCCATACCTCAAAAAAGGCTATAAAATGGATGGAAGAAAATAATGTACCACTTTTGAAATGGGTTTCTAGCAGTCCAGATCTGTCACCTATTGAAACTTTGTGGCACGAGATGAAAAAGGTTCTACGACAACATCCTGCTCGTACAATCACCGAACTGAGACAAAAGCTTCAAGAAATATGGGATTGTTTTACACCAAATTACACTTGGTTAACAATATGTCCTAAAGAATTTCAGCCGTAATAAAAAATAAAGGTGATGTTACCCAATGGTAATCTTTTAATTGTTGCTTTGTTAACTTCGCGCATTTATTCGCACATTGTTTATTTGTTCAGATGTTCTATTAGTTATAGGTCTAAGTGATTTCAAATATGTATTTTTTACGACTAGAGTGTATCTAAAATGTTTTTGAGAAAATAAGTTGTTTTAGAAGTAAATAGTTCCGTCATGTTTAGTTTATAAAGGCATATTGTGGTACAAATCTTGAAGTGCACCAACTGAAGTGGGAAGGGGGTCGTAAATACTTTTGCTTTTTGAGTATAACCATATTCTTCAAAGCAGTGACATAAAGGATATTCATAATCTTCACCTTATACTTGGCATAGGAATCATATCCTTCAAAAATTCTGGGTGTGGTCAGTAGCAGACTCAACTTCGTAGCGAAAGGTGGTCAAACGATGATGGCGGAAATTGTGGATGTTAGGGATGTTAAAACGTACAAACCTCGTTTACCTTCACTTGGTCGTGACTTCAAAAAATTATATCGGTTCGACGAAGCAAATGTACAATGGCTTTCGGACATATTTTTAGTTGAGAATGAGGAACTCGAGGAGGAGCACTTTCATGTATTCATAAAATGAAGATATGTCTACGATATCTTTGGATACCAACAAGATATTGGTCAGGAACTTGGTGGTAGTCAAGCAACGGTATCTCGGACTGTGGATAGAGTTGTGAACAGCATAGTTGCACAGTCGAACGAATGGATCAAGTTTTCAACTACCAACAATGAACTGATGGAGGCCAAGCGGATATTGCAAAGCATGTATAAATTCCGGCAGCAATTGGTGTTATTGATTGTACACATATAGGAGTCCTGAAACCAAATCGCCATGGAGATGAGTATATCAACCGAAAAGGTAAACCTATTTTAAGTGTGTAAGCCACTTGTGATGCCAGAGAGATGTTCGCAAGTGTTGACGTTAGTTGGACTGGATCACTGCATGATTCCAGAATATAGAGAAATTCACAGACTAGACCACTACTAATGAATAAAGCAAATTTTTTACTAATTGGCGATGACGGTTATGGTATTGAGCCATGCCTTATGATTCCCTTCAGAAATCCTACTCCAGGTGCAGAAATAAATTATAATAAGCTTTTAAACAAGAAAGAGTTTTAATTGAACGCTGTTTTGGCCAACTGAAATGCCGGTTTCCTATCCTACAGTATGTTTGCCGCGTAAAGTTGGAAAATGTGCCGAAAATAATTATTGCTTGTATTGCACTCCATAATGTTGCGAAGAGCTTCGGCGATCCTGACTTTGAGTCAAGACCCAAATGAAGATGAAGGAAGTCATGGGAATGACGAACTGCTTCTCCGCCAACTAGGTCAACAAATAAGAAGAAATTTGAGTATTGTAATAAATAGTTTTACTGATTAAAGTGTATTTATAAGTTATAATAGGTTTTATTATCGTGAACATCATAAGTTACAGGTGGCTTCTGACACTGCATCATTTCTAATTTCGTTTTATAATACTCTTGTTGTAAAATACTTGTTTGGCACTGCTGTAATAGCACTAGGCGTTGCAGTTCTTTTGTAGTTAACCCCTTGGTTTCCTTAGTTTCCTATTTCTCTGTTGCTAATTTTCCTTTCGGTGGCAATGTCTTCTGAATTGCTGGCGCTGAACTACTAACTGTTTGCTCACTGCGCTCGGTATATAGTTCACTTCCTTCTTCTTGAACACTACCAGCCTGAATTGCACCTCTAATTTTCCTAATTGTAGGATTACAGTCACCTTCCATAGCTTTCAGTATTTTTCTTTCCCAATCTAACAATTTAATTGCTTTATTACCAGTTTTTTTAGATCTGTTTTTTCTTCAATCTTGATTTCATGTTGTTGATTTTTTTTTAATAAACCTTTAGTATCTAATGGTTTACCGAATGTTGATTCGTATTTTTTCAACATCCTCTTCAACGCATCGTCCTTCTAATTTTTATTTTTGGAACTTGTGACTTTGGAAAATAATGGGAGCAATGGCAATTTCATCGGCGATGAACTGCAGGTCGTTGCCATTATTTTCTATATTTTCCTCATCACTTGAGGATGACATGCTTATTAATTTGATGAAAAACTGTATCCAGTAAAAATGCGGAAGGTCTGTGTAAGCTCTGGAGTACAA